CTGCGTGTCAAAATTTGGTGCGATCGGGCTGCGATCTTGTCAAAGTGCAGTAAATACCACACGAAAACCGAACAGGGGTTTATCAACTTCCCGTGTAAAAATGTGAATGTGTGGATTTTGATTGTCTGTCGCAAGGTGATAAAAGATGATAAAGGTGATAAGGATGTTATAAAGGGGCCGGTGCAGTTGGGGCTGGAATGGGGGGGAAGGAGGGAAGGAGGGGGCGGAGTGAGATGGGGGGTGTAAAGGGGAATGGGGGGAGTACACGAGGTGCTCGGGAAAGGAGAGGGGGAAAGGGAGGGATAGTGAGAGGAATGGTGGAGGGCTGGGGGTGGGTTGATGGAGAAGCGCTGGGGAGGGGGTGGGGAAGGGGTGGATAGAGGGAGGGGGGCCGGTTAGCTGATACCGCCGCGCTAGAGTACGTGTTGGAGCATTCCTGTGAATGTCAGGTTTGTGCCACAAGAGCTGAGTCAAACAGCAAGCGAACACAACCAAGTACCTGACCGCGCAATGCCAAGTCAGCACTCACGCATAAGTACACAGCAACACAATATCGTTTGTCGTGTTATCTCGGAGCAGGACTCCACATAAATGAGCAATCGCGAACCAAGCGGTAAGCAGCAACAAGTACCCAACAGCGCAATACAACTGCCTTTCTTGTCTCGGAACAAGATTTCGCATAAATGAGTTCTCACGAAGATTAAGGGTTAAGGGAGCAGGCTTTCTAGAGAACCGTCGCCAGAAATGATTATATAAGGGAAAATGAGGCACTCCTTGCGATTGAAGCTTTCAGAGCACCAGCGCTTTATGATGGGACACTCCTGCGACTCAAGCTTTTCTCGAGCATGAATGCCAGAAAAATCATGAGGGGGAGTGTCCTTGCAATTGAAAGTTTTCTCGAGCATCGTCGCCGGAAAAGAGTAAGGGATGAGCAACGCACTGTCTGCGATGGGAGAGACCTGACAGTCTCTCCAAGCCACTGGAATGTGAGCATGAAATAGAGTATTCACCTTCTCTTGTTTGAAGGCTGGGGAGCGGGGGAGGACCAGACTTTTCTTTTTGAAAGTCTGGGGGGCTCCATCCTTTCACTTTACGCGTAAGCTTTCTTCCATCTTGTGAAGACGAACAGGCGATAGTCAGGAACTATGCTCTCTCCTGTGCTAAGAAAGTGAGACAGGATGCTAAGAAAGTGAGACAGGAAATCTTTGTTTGCCGATTGAGTGGGGGGCGGAGCTCTTTTATTTCTCGTCAAATTGGAGGGGCCTGCCTGCTTTGTTGAGATGAAGCTCTCTTCTGTACCATCAGAGGAAGCTGTAAGTCTCCTCTTGTCGAAGATGAGGTAGAGGACTTTTTCTACATGGAAGTTGGGGGAGCTCTGTCCCCGTTTGCTCTTGCTACGAGCGAGATCGCTTCCATCTTCTTAAAGCTAAAAGGCGAACTACCAAGAGGTAAAGGAGCTGTCTGCTCGAAAGAAACTCTCTTCTGTTACCAAGAGCAACTTGGAGTGAGCTCTTTTTTGTGTCAAAAGATGAGGTAAAGAGCTTCTCATGTCCTTTTGGAGGCCGTAGGGAGGACCAGACTACTCTTGTCAATGCTTGGCGTTTGGAAGAGTTCCATCCTTTCTTCTTGATCATATCAGCTCTTTTCCATGTTTTGAAGAGGAGGAGGAGGAGGAGGAGGAGGAGGAGGAGATGGTCAAGAGCTCTCACTTCTGACTGAGAAAGACAGGAGTTTTCCTCTTGTCGACAAAGAGGTAAACAAAGCTTTCTTCTTTGTCGAGAAGTTAGATGGGGCCTCTCTTCTGAATCTTAGAGCATGGGGTCGTGGATGTATCTTTTCTTTTTATACGCTGGGGGGAGGACCAGATTTTTCTGTTTGAAAGTTGGGGGAGATCCACCCTGCGTATGCTCTCTTCCAACTTTCCCTCCCCAAGAGAGAAAGGCAGCCTCTTGTTGTCAATTGAGGGGTAAGCGGAGCTCTCTTCGTTCTCATGAAGTTGGAGGGGCCTCTCTGCTTTGTTGAGATGAAACTCTTTTCTGTTTCACTAGATCGGAGGAAGCTCTCAATCTCTGCTTGTCAAAGATGAAGGAGAAGGTTTTTCGTTTTGCAAGTTGGGGGGAGCTCTGTACATTCTTGCGATGAGCGAGGCTCCAGGCGCTCTCTGCTAGAGAGAAATACTCTTTGTGAACCACGAATAACCTGAGGGGGACTCTCTTCTTGTTGTTGAGGATGAGTTGAGCGACTTACCTTCTTCTTGAGGGATGGGGGGAAGAACAGATTTCTGTTTTGCAAGGAGGGAGGAAGCTCCGCCCTTTCTTTGTGAGCGCGCGCTCTCTTCCCGAGAAAGGTTTGTCCCAGTTGATTCTAGCTAGGAGCGAGATCGCCTTGACAGGTGACTTAAACACCAAGAGGTAAGGGAGCTCTCTGCTAGAAAGAAAGTCTCTGCTCGTACCAAGAATAAGTTGGAATGAGCTCTCTATTTGTTTCAGACGACGAGTTAGAGGGGCTTCTCTTCTGAGTTGCTGGGGTAGAGGACTTGCCAGTCTACCAAGAGGTAGAGGAGCCCTCTTCTTTCTCGTGATATTGGAGGGAGTTTTCTTCTTGTTTTCGATGACTAAGTAGAGAACTATACATTGTTTTTGCAGGTTGGGGCTGGGTGCTCTGTCGTCTCCTGCTGGGAGCGAGGTCTCTCCAATCTTCTCATGATTGAGAGGCGACTAACCAAAAGGCAAAGGAGCTCTTTGCTGGAAAGAAGCTCTCTCCTGCTACCATGAAAAAGCTGGGGAAGGATTCTCTTCTTGTCTTAGAGCATGAGGTCGTGGATCTATCTTTTTTCTATACGCTGAGCGGAGGACCAGACTTTTCTGTTTGAACGTTGGCGGAAGATCCACCCTGTCTTCTTGGGCGTATGCTCTATTCCAACAGGATCTTTTTCCCTCACCAAGAGAGAAAGGCAGCCTCTTGTTGCCAACTGAGGGGTAGGGGCCTCTCTGCTTTGTTGAGATGAAGCTCTTTTCTGTTTCATTAGATTTGTGACTACCACACCTGGCAAACTAAGGGTATGCGCCGGGAATGATTATCTTATGGATTTCTTATGATTTTGGTGTTTTTGCCGTTTCCGATTCTGATACGGTTCTGGTTACGATTTCAATACGGCTACGCGGGAAAGCACGGCTCCGAAGGCAGCTCGGCTGCAAGTCTTAAAACCATATCGAAAACCTAGCAAACACATCAAAACCAGTCCTGGGGGAGGCTGGAGACGTATCGAAATCGTATTGAACTCGTATTGAAATCGTATCAAAATCGTAACGAAATCGTATCAAAATCGAATCCAAACCGTATCCAAATCGTAAACCATGTCAAAATCGTATCAAAATCGTAACCGGAAGGGTCCTTGAAATCATATCAAAACCGTCACATTCTTGCAAAAATATTTATGCCATGAAATGCCAGTTTGCCGGCACTCTGTGGTCACAACACTAGACCGGAGGAAGCTCTCAATCTCTGCCTGTCAAAGATGAAGGAGAAGGTTTTTCGTTTTGCAAGTTGGGGGGAGCTCGGTACATTCTTGCTATGAGCGAGGCTCCAGGCGCTCTCTGCTGGAGAGAAATACTCTTGGTGAACCACGAATAACCTGAGGGGGACTCTCTTCTTGTTGTTGAGGATGAGTTGAGCGACTTACCTTCTTCTTGAGGGATGGGGGGAAGAACAGATTTCTGTTTTGCAAGAAGGGAGGAAGCTCCGCCTTTTCTCTCTTCCCGAGAAAGGTTTGTCCCAGTTGATTCTAGCTAGGAGCGAGATCGCCTCCATCTTCTTAAGGTTGAAAGGCGACTCAAATACCAAGAGGTAAGGGAGCTCTCTGCTAGAAAGAAAGTCTCTGCTCGTACCAAGAATAAGTTGGAATGAGCTCTCTATTTGTTTCAGACGACGAGTTAGAGGGGCTTCTCTTCTGAGTTGCTGGGGTAGAGGACTTGCCAGTCTACCAAGAGGTAGAGGAGCCCTCTTCTTTCTCGTGATACTGGAGGGAGTTTTCTTCTTGTTTTCGATGATTAAGTAAAGAACTATACATTGTTTTTTGAAGGTTGGGGCTGGGTGCTCTGTCGTGTCCTGCTGGGAGCGAGGTCTCTCCAATCTTCTGATGACTGAGAGGCGACTAACCAAGAGGCAAAGGAGCTCTTTGCTAGAAAGAAGCTCTTTCCTGCTACCACGAAAAAGCAGGGGAAGGACTCTCTGCAGCCAGGAAATCGCTGTTGAAGCAATTTCGGCTGCGCATTGCCCTGCCAGATTCTCTACTACCGGCTGTACTGTGGTATTAGTTGTATTGTCCCAGTTTCCGACCGAGTTTCTGTCCGCCAGTGGATGGATCTGTCTGCAGGAGAACCAAGGGCACAAGCATTGAGCAGTGTTACAATTTCATGTCAAGTCTGTCAGTGCAAAAGAAACACGGCAACACTCATGAAAAAGTAGGGCTCTTAGCACACACTGACGCGGGTTTATGCCAACTACAGGAATTCTTTCCTGGCTTCAGGAGTCAGGAGGATTGTCTTGTGTTCCATGTAATGTAACAGCAAGAAAGTTCCACGTTCGCTCCCTTTGCAACGGCCTGCTCATCTCGGCAGGACGGGTCTAGGAACTGCAACAGCGGAGAAAGCAAGTCTGCGACGCTTCGCAAGCGCGAAACTCTTCGACGACAAGCAAGACGCGAGATCAGACAAACGCCCACCAAAACCGACGGAAAGACAGGCTCCTTACGGCCCAAGAAGAGCACCCCAGCGCCAGCTTGACAAGCTGAACTGCGTGACCTTCCAGCTTTCAAACTTCAGCCCTTCAGCAGCGCTTCCGGTGCGGGGGGGAGGGCCGTTGTCGTGCCGGTATTGCCTCGAAACCTTCCTTCTCTTGCGCAACTGAGCTACAGATCAACTTCCTTTGAGCTTAACGAGTTAACAAGCTTATCCATTTCTTATCGTTGTAAGTAACTGGTCTTCTTTCGAGCCGGAAAGGCTCAGCCGACGGCGCGGACGTCTCTGAAGGCGGGGCAAACGGCAAAAACCAGCATTGACCTGGCCACATGGCTGCAACGCAGCTGCAGCGAGAGCAAAGGATTTGCTGTTGTGCGCAATCAGCTTGGCAGGGCACTGGCTCCTCACAGGAAGTCAGCTTCGACCTCCCCCGAGTTCGGCACCCGATGTGAGTAGTATAGCATGGTGATTCTGGTGGCTGCCGACCTCAGCCGAGCACAGCCGAGGTGGACGGTGCCATCGACGCAGGGCGCTCTGCGGGCCGCGAGCGGGTGGACTCGGAGGATTCGGAGGCCTTGATGCAGACGCAGGCCCAGCAGCCGCTCATTTCTGCTCAGCCGCCCTGTCGGGGACCTGTCCTGCCCCGCTGCCCCCCGCTGCTCAGAAAGCTCCTGCGGGCACGGTGGAACTCCAGCCAGCGGCCTAGATCGCAGCAGAAGTAGATTCGTGGAGGAGAGTTTTTGAGGAGTCTGAGGAAGAGGGAGTAGCGGGAGTGCCGTCGTCAGTCAGCGGCCCCGAGGCTCCAGGGGCCTTTCGGAGCCCCGGCGCAGCGCGTCTGGGAGTTCAAGACGGTGATGGTGGTGGGCGCCGGCATCGGCGCCAGGGACCAGGGATCTCAGAGAGGGAGCTGAGGGACGTCAGCTGAGTCAGGGAACTTTGCGTCGCTCCGAGGTCACCCCGTTTGTTTCCATCCTCCGCTCTGTCCAAATGCGGATGCAGCAGCAGCTGCTCCTCTCCGCGGCCTCGAGAGGCCAAGGGTCCCCTTCCGACAGAGAGACCCCCACTGGGACTTATCGGAATGATAGAATGAAAGTCAGGGAAGGGAGAGCGACAAGCGACAAATGGGAACATGGCTGCGGCTGGCGGTGCGGTGATGAACATCGAGTCTCGCGTCGCGAAGAGCCCATACATTAACGTATAGACTTAGGTCCGGTCCGGTCCAAGGCCTGTCCTGCGCATAGTGCTGGATGTTGCCTTCCATCTCGCATGGGCGGTTTCTTCCGTCGAAGGCGTGAGGAACCTGCAGTCTTGCAGGGTCCCTTAGGTGCCGCGAGCTTGGGGATACACACCCAGCAGAGCAAACGCTGACAGGGCCCTGTTTGCTTCGTGCTGTCGTGCAACCGTCGGGGCTTTCACATCACGAACCTTCGCATCAAAGTTTGCGGAAGCTTTTCCATGTTGCAGTGTCAGCTCAGACTTCAAGACGGTTGCGTGCAGGCGATTCGGAGGTGGCGCCCAAGGGCCGGTCTGCACGGGCAGAAGCCAGCCACGCCATGGCTCCCCCAGAGAAGGAGGCGCGCGAGGCGCGCGGGCGGCGCGATGAGCAAAGAGAGAGCGCCGCTCCACACGGATGGACTGCGAGGCGACCGACGACGCTCCGCGGCGGGCTTCCCTGAACCTCCCTGCAGAGGCCCTCAGGGCCCTCAACCCTCAGTCGGTGTTGCAGTGTTGCTATCTCTATTGGCACGTTTACTCTTCACTCTTCACTTTGCCTGAGGTCTCCGAGAAGCCGTGGGCCCAAAAGCCAGGAGCTCTGCATGAGATCGCGCGGAAGAAAGTGCCCTTTTCAGGAAGAAGACATCCCAGGTCCGGTGCCTCAGCAAGTGTCGGCCTTTCGGCCGCTCCGCTCCGCTCCGCTCCCCGGCTCCCCCCCCGTTTCTATGTGCAGCTGCAGGCGGGGGCATCGGCCCAAGGAGCTTCCCGCAGCTCTCGTGGCCCGGAGCAAAGCATCCGTCAACCATCAAAGGAGGAGGGTGTTGGCTTCTGCCTTTCGCCTCAGCAGGTGCCGGAGAGGCCACGGCGGCGGCAGCCGCTAACGGCGGTATCGTCGGCTTGACGGAGATCTCGCCCAGTGTTGGGACCCACAGAGACAAAAGGAAGCGCACGCGCCCCCCGCGCGGAGCGCTCCGTGGCGGCCGCGCAACTTGAGGTCGTGGGCGCCACGTTGGGTGCGACCCTGGAGGAGCTTGGGCCTCGGCTCAAAGCTCCTTCAGCTCCTTCGGCCCGAGCTCCTTCGGCTCCCGAGGCCGAGCATGCAGGCACCGCCTCCAAGAGCGCCTCCGCAGGCGGCGCTGCGCGCCTCCCTCCCTCCCCCTCTCAGCTCTCGTTTCCGCTGGCCGCTCTGCTTGAGTCGAAGAAGAAGAAGGAGAAGCCTGTCTCCAGCAGCGCGCCTTGCCAAGGAAGAAGGAGAGGCGGTGAGTCGGTGAGGGTAGAGTCTGGGAGAGGCGGTGGTTGCAGTGGTCGCAGCAGTTGCAGCAGGAGTTTGCAGCAGCTGAGGCGAAAGCGGGCCTCGGCCTTCAGAGCCAGGGCCAGGGCCCCTCGGACTTGGTGGATCAGCTCGTCAACGATGCCGGGGGCCCCGGCGGCCGCCCCTCCTCTTCCAGCTGCTTCGGCTGGCGCCTTGAGGTGATCCCTGTGCCCAGATACATCCACTTCTACTGGATCGTCCGCAACCAGCAGGAAAAGAGAGAGAGAGAGGGAGAGAGAGCAAGAGAGAGTGGTGAAGTAGCACGAAGGGAGAGAAGCCGATGTTTCGGAGACACGGCTCGGGATCTTTGGAGGAGCTGGACTGGTTCTACGATTTGTTGGCCACGGCCGTGGAGGGCCCTGCCAAGGCGGCGCCCGCGGCTCTCGCATTCGCCTCGCTCGGCCTCGCTTGGCAGGAGCGTATCGAGGTGAACCTCTTCACCACCGGTGAGGCCTCAGACTCAGCGGTTTCGCGCCGGTCGCCGGCGTCGCAACTCGTCGCAAGTGTTCGCTCCGAGGTGGAGCTCTCGGCGGTGAAGGAGCTGAAATGCCGTTGCTCCCAGGATCCGGTGTCGAAGTCCGATCGCCTCTGCCTCTTAGACGAGGCGTGCACCACCAGTACTTCGGGCGTCCGAACTGGGGCCGCATCTTCAAGGGCTGCAAGGCTGGAGCTGGAGAGAGGCGATGAGCAGCAGAGAGCTGCTGCTTCGCTCTTAGGCCCAGCACGTGGGTGAACACGTCGGCGTCTTTCTCTGCGGTTCCCCCATCATTGGAGAGGAGCTCTCGCGCCAGAGCTGCTCGACAGAGAAGCACAGAGAGCGAAGCTCTACACTCTACACTCTACTTCCTATTGCACGTCTCTAGGCTTGAAGCACAGCGACCCGCCAGAGCACTCGTGGGGAGCCGACAAAAGAAAGTGAGCAAGTGGCAGCAGATGACAGCAGCTGAGCAGAGAGAGCTCTTCATGAGCCTGAGGAACCGAACCCGCTTCTCCTTCTTCAAGGCAAGCAATAAGCAAAACCAGGCCAAGAGCATGACAGTGAACCACCTGGTCAGGAGCACTTCTGACGCCAAGGCACAAGGCACGGCAAGGCCAAAGCAGGGCCAAAGCAGGGCGAGGCTCCCGCTTGCGGAGCGCCGGAGCAGTGAGAGCCATGGCCGTGGATTCAAGATGTGTACATGTGAATAAACGTATACCGTCACATGGCATGAAAGCTTTGCAGGGCACCGTCTTCGAAAGGTTATTTCCCGTTGTGACTCGGGGCAGTTCCTGTACAGCTGCGTATCGCCCAGTGCTAAGCACTGCTGCGCGTGGGGACGCACGTGAGAGCCATGACTCCGTTTGGGGGTGGGTGGCAAGAACGCCAGTGCCTGCTTGATGCCAGCTCGGAGGACCCCTAAGTTCTTGCTCTTCGTCGCAGCGGACCGGTCGCTCAGAGCGGGAGTGGAGGGCAGGCAGAGGGACGGCCCGGCAGAGCCATGTAGTTGGTAGCCGCAGTGTAGAGGCTGTAGCCATGGGGCTGAACGGCCTGGCTTTGGGTTCGCTGCTGCGCGGCTCCGGCGGCTCCGGCTCCGACGGCTGGGCGTTGGCGGGCCTTGGCCACTGCGGCTCCCGAGCGGAGCAACGTTTGGAGACGAATCTCCAACTCTGCCTCCAGCACTGCCAGGCCGGAGCGGGGCTTTTCATCCGAATCCTCCCAGCAAAAAGCGTGAGACGTCTTGAAGGAATCCGTGCGCTGCTCCTACGCCTCCTTTCTGGACACTACGGTGGTGAGGGAAGGAAGCCGGAGCTTGACGTGGGGACTCTGCTGGATCTATGGCACCTGCCCCAAGCTGCTCAGCACTTTGCCCGGCTTTGCCACCTTTCGAAGGCGGCGTTTAAACGACGTAGGCTCCGCTCTAACGCACCGGGAAGAGGAGCCGCCTATGGCTTCGAAAGCGGATCCGGAGCCCGGAAGCTGGGGAGCTGCAGTGGAAGCGACCCGGGCGCCGCACGTGGAGGTAACCTTGGCCCTGAGCCCCTCCCTGGCGGAGTCCTTAAAAGATCGCTTCGAGCACCGCCAGCTCTGCGTGGCTCTGAGAGATGGGAGGAATCCGAGGCTCTTGGCGAAGGCTCCCGGCAGCTGCAATGACGGTGAGGATGCGAGCGCCGGCGCATCGCTTTTCCAGGTGAGGAGAGTGCAAAGCGCTGGCGAGTCTGGCGAGGCTGCGCTCCGGCGTTCCGTTGGTCCCCAGGAGTTGGTCTCCGTTCTTGTGGAGATCTCTTGGAGAGACCACAAGCTTTGTGTTGGCAAAGAAGGGCCCAGAAACATCTCCCTCTCCCGAGACTGCGGAGCGGGTGCAGGCGGTGCAGGCGGCGCAGGCGGCGCAGCCTCGCTTTGGGAGCTCCAGAGGGCCGGCGAGGGCCACGAGAGCCTTCCCAGCGAGCCTTGCCTTTGGCTGAAAGCGAAAAGCCAGGAGCAGGGTCATGAAAACCAGCAGAGCTACTTGGCCCTGCAGGACCGCGGGCTAAAGTCCAGAGGTTCCCTTCACCAAGGCCCGAAGGCCTTGTAAGACTTACACGAGTGCCTGGGCGCGCCTTTGCCACTTTGCTCAGGACTGGAGAGACTTGGTCTTGGTGAGTTGGCCTGAGCTCGGCGCAGGCGGATGCTGGCACATGGGAGGAAAGCAAACCTGGACGGAGCAGCACTTCGAGAAGAGGGAAACAGCGGAGAGCACGGCGGGCAGGTCGAGCGTTTCTGCGGTGGTTTGGCTGATGGCGTCGGAGAGCTACAGCTTCGCTTTGAAGAGGCTTCTCTCCTCTTTCAGGCAAGCCGGAGAGGCTGTGAGAGTGCAGGTGCGTTGGGTGCCGGACATGAAGGACACGCAGAAGGAGGGCTTCAAGCTCATGGGAGGTTTCTCGCCGAGCTACAAAGTCTTCTATTTCAACTACGCCAAGTACCTCTTCCTCTTCGAGGCGAAGTGTAGCTGAGCGATGTGGCGCTGTTTTAGGGGGTGACGTGCGACGCTGGCGATGGGAGGGAGTTCGCGTGCTCGCGGAAGCAGAGCGTTTCCGACTCACGAACAGCAATGAGAGCTGCGAGAAGACAGAATCGTGCAAGGGCTCAACGGCTCGGGTTGCTTGGCTTGAGGTTCGCGGCGTTCGCAGTGTGTGTGCGACCTGGGAGGCTTTGCTAGAAGCTGTGACGGCCGAGGAGACGCCGCTGCTGGTGGTCATGGACTTGGACCGCTCTAAGACTAGCGACCGCGCTCTAGCTTTCGGCTTGTGCTCTATGGCACGTCGCTGAGGTTGGTTGAGGTCTAGAGTACTCTCACCAGGGAGGTCACGTCGAAAATCGCGAGACTCCTCGCAGGATCATTCGGAGTTCTCGCTTCCAACCGTTGAGGATGCTGAATGCCGAAGTCTCATCGCTGCTTGATGTGTTTGCGCAAAGCAAAGTCTCGCTGCAGCAAGAAGCTGCGAAACCCCAAGAATAGTTTAATAGCGATGCCCAGGGCTTCAGTTAAAGTGCAGCTCCGCTAAGAGCACCGGCCCAAACTTCTTTTGGCCGGCACCTGGTGCCGCAGTGCATTTTGCGGTTGAAGTTTTTTGCAGGACGTCCAGGTCTTCCCGGGTTGGACGAGCACTTTGCGACGCTGCCTCGTGGATGATGGACTGAAGCAAAGCGAAGAGGAGAAGAAAGAGGAAGAGTGCAAAGTTCCCTCGGAGACTGGAGCGGATGTGTGCTTCTTGCAGCAGGCGGCTTTTGGGGACGGGCGCCTGCAGCAGGCCAACAGCGGTGTCCTGGTCTTCGGCTCAGGGAAAGGGGGCCCAGCATCCTCCCAGGCCTCCCTGTCGCTAGGGAGGTTCGGTGCCTTGTTGGGTGCCTTGGTGCAGCGGCTGCAGAGTCAGGAGGTCTTGGCACAGCTCCTGCCGAGCTCCGAGCCGGTTGCCTTCGAGCAGCTGCACTTGAACTACGTCTTAAACTTCATCCGAAAGCACGTGGAGCGACCCAAGGAGCGAGACCTCCAGCTCCGCGTGGTCCGCTGGGGGATCTACTCGCCCTTGGTGGCTTACGCCGGGATGTTCCTGACACACGCCATCCTCACGGATACGGTGCACCACGCCACGGCCAGCAACGTGAATCTAAAGGAGAAGCTCCGGTTTCTGGAAGCGGCCAAGCTCATGTCGGAGGACTTCAGGCAGCTCTGCCCACTGAACTTTGAGGGGAAGATCATGCTCGAAAGCGGCGGGGGGCCTCTAAGAGAGTTCTGCTTCTATTTCACGGCCAAAGATCCCCACTTCGGGCCTCTGCTCCCACATCACAAGCTTTTTCAGGGCTTCTCGGAAGAGGACAACGGGAAGGTCTTGGAGCATCTCATCTCCAGGCAGTAGCCGCAGTAGCCAGCTGTAGCTGTGGTTCCTTGGTTCTCCTTTCAGCTGCTCCGGACTTGTGTGTGTGTTTCTGTCTCTGCAGGGCAAAGGGCCGCAAGGCCTGGATCCAGCTGATCATCCACTTCAACGAGCGTGGCTATAAGCGCTGGTGCAAGGCACGGCAGAACACCTCGCAGACGCTTCGGACACTCCTGGAACTGCCGTACTGAGAGTACTGTCAAAAGAGTCTGTTTTCACAGAGCGGCGGAGAACGGCGGCGGAGAACGGCTGCTGCGGCTGCTCTGTTTGGACCGGACCGGACCTGCCGCTGACACACCGCGGCGGCGCATTGAGAAGGAGAGACGTTTGAGCCAGCGGCGGATCACTCGGCGATCACGCGGCGTCCCTTTGGGCGGGCGGTTGCCTTCGACGTCGCCGCTGCTCGAGCTCTGCAGATCTCCGCCCAGACCACTGCAAGCAAGCAGTGGCACGCAGTTCGCCTCTTCGTCCTCGTGGCGGCCTCCCTGCTCCTTGTAGCGGAAGGAAAAGACTCGAGTTCAGATTGAGTTGTCTGAGTTGCCGCGTGCCTTTTTGTGAGGATGTGCTGTTTTTGGGGGGGTGTGGCGCGAGTCATAGCTGGTCCAAACATAAAAATTTTTTTATGTTTTTTTTTAGCTGTCATGGCCCGACGAGCTCATGGAGCTGGGGGGCCTGAGACAGACGCCCACGCTGCCGGCCGGCGCGGCGCCTTCGCCTTCTGCCCATGGCCAGGGCTTCCCCCGCCGCGGCCCCGGCGGCGGCCCTTTGCCATCGCTTCTTCGGCCTTCTCTCGGAGTTCTCGCGAACGGCCCCGCGAACGGCCTGGGCCTCCTGAGCCTGATCGCCGCGAGCTTCCTTCACGTTGGCCGATTTGGCCGCCGCCGCCGCGCCGCCCGCCCGCTTCTTCGGAGCTCTGCTGAATTTCTGGGACGGCAGGGCCGCTTCTGGCGATCCTTGGATTGGAGACGATGGCACTGGAGCGCCGAAATGCAGCGAGCAGACACGATCGTGATGCCACCGACGAGCAGCGAAGGCCCACAGAGGCGAGTCTCCGAGGAGGAGGCGAGCGGCCAGAAACCGCTGAAAGAAGAAGTCACTCTCCTCCCGCTCCGTTCTTGTCGCTCGCAGGTCCGTGAGTTTGAGGAGTTTGGGGTGGTGCTGCTCCGCGGGGCCATCACCGAGTGGGCGCTAAGGCTCAAGGCAAAGTCCGCCGTTGAGATACCTCTGCCTACTCTGCCTCTCTCTTCCCTGCTCTGCCTCTGATCAATCTGAGGTGCCTTTCTTGAAGGAAGCTGTTGAGCACCAGATGGAGCACCCACAGGCCTGAAGTCCCAGTTGCACGCCCTTTGTCCTGTGACTGGTTGCGCCCGCCATTGCGCCGAAGACCCGCAGCCCGCAGGTGTCTGCCTTCGTCACGGGCTTGCGAAGCTTCTTCTCCATGGACTACGTACAAGCTGGACTCTTCCTCACCAACGACTCCTTCTTCGACTTTTGGAAGAGCTCCAACGTGCCGGCACTTGTGGCCCAGCTCTTAAGGCTCGCCGAAGACTCCACCAAAAACGTCTTCAGCGCCCTCTCTTCCCCTCCCTCAAACCCGAAGGTGCGAGGAGGTGCGCCTCGTTGTGGACCAGCTGAACGTGAACCCGCACTGCCCGCCGCATGGGGCCCAGCCTCGCCGCCGAGAGCCGCCTCCGGCTGAGACACAAAAGTCTGCTGAGGTTCACAGATGCAGGGAAGTTCCACACAGATGCACCTTGGACCTTGGAGCCAAAAGGGCTTGTGCTTTCCCAGACTCTCTAGACTCTAGACTCTGAGGTAGGTGTGATCTCCGCCGTGGCTCGCGCGGAGGAGGTTGTCCGTGTCTGGATTCCACTGGAACGCAGCGCGATGAGGGAGGGCGTTGGGACCTTGGAGTTCAGGCTAAAAGGCGGAGAGCGCCGGAGATTCGAAGAGGTTGAGCCTGGAGACCTGCTGATGTTTACGCCAACAATCCCTCATCGCGTGCTCTTCCCAGAAAGTGAAATCTACGACGAAGACCGCTGCGTTCTGATTGCGAGCTTGTGGGGTGGCGCTGGCGGCGCTGCTGGCGCGAGTGCCGCGAGTGCGAGTGCACCGACGCAGAGCGAAAGCGAGACCCGCTCTCGGTCTCCGATGGAAACTTGGCCTTTGGAAGTGCTGGCAACAGCGAAGCAGAGCGAAGCCTAGCAGTGCCTACTGCAGTGCCTAGCAGTGCTGTCAGTGGTTTCGTACTCCGCGGCTCCGAGGCGGTGCCCGAGTTCCCGCGGCTCTTTCCGACGCTCGACAAAGCCGAGCTCCAAGCGCGCGAGGAGAGGAGGCACCCGCGGGGGGGGGGGGGGGGGGCTAAAGATCAATCTCTTTCCCCAATCACAGCTCACTCCTGATTCCTTTGTGCAACCAAGCAGTCGTCCAGTCTTGAGCCAATGCCATTCGGCATTGTTGCATTCACAAATGCATCTTGAACATTATGGGGTCATTGGGCTCGCGTCATTTAACACAGTCCCTTGATCTTGACTTCAGTCGAAGATCGTTCAAATCACGAACCAATGTGTGAAACTAACCTGTTTTGCAGCGCGTACAGTGTGTGTACCTAGTGTTTTGTACAGTCGCAGACGTTCCCCTCTACCGCAGGGGCCCCTTGGACCAAGCCTACGGCTTTGCGGAAAAGTGACTAGTCTTCGCACTGGTAGCGGAGCTCTCGGTTAAGAGAACCAGAGCTCGTAGCCCAATAGTACGCCCCCTGCGCGGGCGTGTGGTCGCCATGGCTAGTGGATCGCTGGCATATCGACCACACCAGGATCTGGACACAGACCTGACGAAGTTTGGCTTCCTAGTCTACGCCGGAACCGTTCGTGACTTTCACGAGTGGGAGTTCCGAGCTATGACAAGGTGGAAGCAGACCAAGGTGGGGGAGAGATCCGACCTTGCGTCCAAGTTCCTCGACTCCTTAAGGAGCGAGGCATACATTGTCGCAGAGGATTTGGGTACCGACGTTTTGTTCTCGAGTCAAAACATCCCCAAGGTGATCGAGGCAGTTAGAGAACGCCTGTTCCCTCTGGCGGAACAAGAGACGAAAGAACTTTATCGGTTAGGGACCCAAGTCGGCGGCACGTTGTCACGACAGCCGGGAGAGCCGATGATCTCCTACATCGACCGCCGCAAGCGGTGGCTAGGCAAGCTTCAGCATTTAGACAAGGCCCTTCACATAAGTGAAGCGGTGCTGACAGATCTGTTGCTGGACAACAGCGGGCTCACCCGGCAAGAGCGACTCATGGTGCTGACCTCGATGTCAGGCAGCACAGCGACGAAGGATGCTGAAGCATCGCTGATTCGCATGCATAATCGTATCCATACGTTGGAACGAAAGCAGCCATCCGCCAAAGGCGGAACTGGCAAAGGGAAAGGTTTCCACAGGAAGGGAGACCGAGGAAAAGGTAAAGGATACGGCAAGAGATCCCAGAAAGGGACTGCTTACACGTACCTTTCGGCCGTGGAAGACCTTTTCGAGTACCCTGACGCCGAGGAAGACGACGACGGAACAGCCTACCTGGCAGGCCAAGAGGACCAGGACGGCCAGGACGGTGATGGGCAGGACTGGGCGTACCACGGAGAAGAGCTCCCCGTGTACGACAAGGAAGAGGACACCGCGTGTGTTGCCCAGTCGGCCGACGCTTCCCTAAGGGACGTCGAGCTTGATGTCTTCACCGCCTTTATAGGCGCTGGGTTCGATGAGGAAGACAAAGAGGCTTTGGCGTTTCTCGCAGACACCGTGCAGTGCGAGACCGTTGCCTTTATGGCGCGGGCCAAGGCTAAGGGTAAAGGAAAGTCTGTGATGCAGAGGAGTGCACATGGATATCGGCCGCGATCTACCGGTCTCACTGTTGAAGACAGGAGACGGAAGCTTCATGAGATTAAACTCAGGAGCACGTGCAAAACGTGTGGCAGAAAGGGCCACTGGGCTGGTGACAAGGAATGCCCAGGCCCAGGAAAAGGTGCAGGAAAGCCCGCAGTGGCACACCTTGCCCAGGTCAGGCGTGTGATGGATAAATCCACACAGACCTGCGACTTCATCGCTAGCCCCAGCGAGAGCGACAGCGAGAGTCAAAGCTTTGACCCGGAGCCAACAGCGAACTACGTTAGCTTGGGTCAGGACTCTGAGACGGAGCCTGCGGCGTACATGGGTTTCTTCGACAGGACTGACTTTGAAGAATCCGACGAAGAGCTCCTGGACGACTTTGCGTCGCAAGGCGCTCCCTCCACGGAATGGGATACCATAGAGTACCCTGACGGCAGCGACCAAGTGTTTCGGTTCGGGATGCACAGGGGTAGCACCAACCTTGAGGTTTTGCAGAACCACCCCGATTACTACCATTGGGGCCTCAAGGAGAAAGAGCCGAGCACCATGCTAGAAGCATGGCTTGTCTGGGTGTATCGCAACTTTGAGGTTCCACCGGTTGGCGGTGGAAGAGCTACACTCAGGGCAGCCACGTTGCCGGTGGAGGCCGACTCGCTGCAGAAGGCTAGGAAGGAGGTGACCCTTGAGAAGGCACCTAAGAGCAAGCTCGGGTTGTTGAAGCCGGATCCCAAAGGACCGTGCGTTGGAGGCTGTCCCGCACACGCATTGAACAAAGCAGGGAGCAATGCGCACGTAATCAAGACCACTTGCATGTTGTGCGGTAACAGGACCTCAAACCCGAGACCAAAGGCTGTACCGAAGAATGACCCCCTCACGTGCGAGCACAAGCGCACAGACAACAGGAACAGCACGAGATCGGTACACCGCACCTTTTGCCTTGATTGTTGCACCGTGGTAGAGGAAATCCCGCAGAAGCTCTTTAAGGAGCAGAAGGGACTCGCCGAGCAGGTGCAGCAGTCTCCACTCAAGGTGCAGAACCTCACGAGGAGACAGCTGGAGGAGTACAACTTTACGAAGTTTGAGGCAGGTGAGGTGGTAAAGAAGTTCTTCAAGCACATGGACAAGTTTTTGTTGAAAGTTGACCAAGTCAGTTCAACCGAGTTGTCTATAGTTGCCTTGAGGATGCGATGGACCAGGTTGTAACTAGAGCAGACGAAGTTACGCATGCAACATGGTAGGGCCGCTGATGTAGCTAGGTCTAGTCAGGACGTAGAGCCCCCACCTTTGCCTGCGTTTTCCCCAGTACGTAGAGAGCGTAGGAGTGCACAGCCTCGTGAGCAAGCTTCGCCCGCCGCCGCAGCAGCAGCTGGCCCGAGAGAGAGAGGAGCAGCTGTTAGGGACGCCATGGCGGCGTCTCCTCCCAGCGGAAAGGGCTGGGGAAGCCGCGAAAAGTTCGCCGGCGTGGCGACGGCGGAGAAGGGTGGTGATCCCGAAGGGGACACCAAGCTGACCCTCACAGCCTTGGTGGGGCAGCTGCAGCGAGATGATCTCGAAGGAGACATCAGCCCGAAGAGCGTGCAGAGCTCAGACAGTGAGCCTGCGCCCCTGGACGAGGAGATTGCTGAGCCGCAACTCCAGCTCGTGGATTGCTTAGAGGACCACGAAAACGTCTGGGTGATGCTGGACGAGGGCTGCAACCAGACATGCCACGGGACGAAATGGAGGGCTCACTCCTCAAAGGTCCTGGCAAAGTTTGGGTTGCAGTTCACCAGCGTGCGCTCGAGCGGCACGAGCTTCAAGGGCATTGGAGCGGCTCGAGCGACGGGCAAGTTCGCAATGCCGTTCGCCCTCCGCATCATGCCGGAGAGCGGAGGCCTTCGCCGGAGCACCCGTCTGCAGGGAGAGCTCTCCAGCGTGGAGCTGGACTCTCCGGACGTGCTCTGCCTCCTGTCCTTGCAGGATCAGGTTCAGCTTGGCCTGATCAAGGACCTGAGGCGCGGCGAGTGCCGAATCTCGGGCTACGCCGGGACACTGCAGTTGGCGAGGCACTCGAAGACCGGCCTCCTCCTCCTGTGCGTGAGCCAGTTTGGGGCGAACGTTACAGAGAGGCACAGAAAGTTTGCAGTGAATCCGGAGGTGATCCCTAAGAGGACATCTAAGAAGGAGAAGAACACTTTCTCGATCCCTTTGAGGGACGGGACGGCACGCAAGAAAGAAACCTTGATCCCTTCAGGGGACAAGGACAGCACGGCGTACATGCTGTCCGAGATGGTGAAGGAGACCGAAGGGCAGCGGAAGAAAACGTTTTGGTGGTCACGTTGGGCTTGGAGAAGCTAGAGACCTGCCAACGTGGGCGCGGCACCTACAACTTATCCGGGGTATGCGGAAGGGGCAGTCGCACGAGTTCTCGCTGAACAACGAGGCCCACGAGGACACGCTTCTGGAAAGCCTGCGCCAGAACTTTGAGTCCTTCCGGGACTACGCCACGGAGCAGATCCTTTTTCTGGACTGCCGGCACATGAACGACCCGGGCAAGGACAAGTCCCTCAGGGACCACTTAGGCACGTACCCCAAGAACGTGCAAGCCATGGTTTTGGACCCAAAGACGAATGGAAAATGGGTGGCGTTCATGAAGGAGGTCGTGCCGGCCGTGCACAAGCTCATCCAGGAGAACGAGCAGTGCGTGATTTTTATGTTTTGCAAATCGGGCAGACACAGGTCTGTGTCGAATGCAAAGATCATGTACGATCTCATAAAGGAGACGTACGAAGTGGAAGCGAGTCTACTTCACCTTTGCGACGGCTACAACTGGCGATATCTATGCGGTGGTTGCGCGGAGTGCAACTGGGAGTCCAAGGAGGCTCGAAGCACCGCAGAGAAGGTGATGGACTTCGCGAGGGAGCGCTGGTTCGAGTTCGTGCCCAAGGTGTGGGTGCGAAAGGATGGCCAGCGCCGCCTAGGCGACGATGGCGTCGTGGTGGAAGAGCCGATCCCTTCGGGGACAGCTCAGGCAGCGGGCGCGGGATCAAGCAGTGACCCGCCGCAGCCTGACTCGGCTGTCAAGCAAGAGGCCGCTCAGGACGAGCAGCTCGGAGATGAGGACCACGACGAGGGCGACACCACTGGGGCAGCCGAGGCCAGTGCCAGTTCGAAGGCACCGGCGCAGCCTTTCACGGTGGAGACCCCAGACGGTGTGTCGGTGCCAGTCCACGACTTGCGACCCGAGCTGGAAGGATTAGATGACAAGTCCCTTGAAAAGGTAAGTTTTCTTTTTCTTTCTAGGGTTTATAGTGTCTTCAACCCAGCGAAGCTTACGGAAGTCACTACGCTGGTCGCCAAGTACGTGGACCACACCTCGCTCACCTGCGCCGTTGCCGCGAAGTACTTAGACTACGAGGCGGCGAGGGCACTTTTGTCGTCGCTGGTGGCTGACGTCCGATCCGGAAAGCGGACGGAGAAAGAGTGGGACACTGACCTGGAGCTGGCTAACCGAAGCCTGGACCAGGCGATCCTCCAGCTGGACGAGGACAAGGCCGCGGCACAACCTGGCGCAACCACAGCTGGAAGGACCACCGCTCAAGCGGCGAACCCACCGCAAAGAGAAAGGACCCGATCGGCACAGGCCTACGGACGAGGAGAGAAGGGAAAAGGTGAGAAGGGAAAAGGAAAAGGCCGAGGAGACAAGGGACGCTGGCCGAACAACAACCCTCGAGGCCCAAGGACTCATACGGAGTCCAATCCTGCCTCGACTTCTCACGCAGAGACTCGCCACGACCTGGCCAGTCTGGGGGAAAACCCCAACAACCCGGGGAGCCTCTCGGGGGCTTGCTTGAGCCAAGTCATCTCAGGACACAAGAGGCACGGTGAAGTTGCCTTTAAAACTTGGTTACAGCCAGGCGTGGGGCACGAAGGAGCCGGACCACCGGTTCGTGTGTCCTATAGGGCACACGCTGCAAACTCCTGGGATAAGGTCCCGACGGAGTTGCAGCGCTTGGCGATCCAATGGACGTCCGATGGGCCCTGGGAGTGGCACGAGACCAACGTGGCCGCCCACTCATGGGTTTACTTCGGCGACCGTTGGGACCAGCACCCGCGCCACATGTTGGTGTTCTTGGTTCCGCCACGCGGTGGCAGTGCCTTCTACGTTGGAGGCATGCTTCCGGATCTCATGGCTTCCGACCTGAAAGTGATGAAGAAGGAGACCGGAAAGATGTTTGAGGATTCTTGCAAGAACCTCAACACGCACGACGACCTGCTGATGCAGGCCTTGGGGCTCCCGTCGGTGGCGATCACGGGCGAGCCGCCCACGACTACGCCCTGGCGAACTCGGAGTTCCAGCCCGGATCCCTTGAGAGGACCGGCGCCAAGGTGATCGTGCGTCACCCTGGCTACCGTATGATCCTTCTGGAGGACATCGGTTGGCAGAAGCAAATCTCTAAAGAGATTGCTAAGATCCGTCCCGACCTCCTGCTGTTGGTGTACAGTTTGGAAGACCAGGTAGGTCTCACCCCGCAGGTACAGACCTGGCTCCAGTCCCTCTCCGCGTACACAAAAGAAGTGCTTGTTCTTGACAGTTTAGGCAGTGTTAGGTGGAACCTGTGGTTTGAGAACAGTGTCGAGGGTACTGAGAGAGAGTTTCAGTTGTTTCAGTGTAGGGGTGACCTGTGTGTAGGGACGTTTTCGCAGGCGATAGGTGAAGTCATGTCTAGTTGGGCGAACTGTGACCACGACATACACTACTCACCTGTGAGCATCGACACAGTAGGCACGCAAGTTGGTTTTGCCGAAACCTTGTTGCTTGTGTTGCAAGAGGGCTGTGTAGAGGACCACGTTGCTGAAGCGTTTCCTGTTGAGGCAAGGCAGGATGAGGTCGAGGAATCTGGTACTCTAGATGCTATAGTGGATCCCAGAGACAATAGGACCGCTTTCATGGATGATCTGGAACTCGCCGAGGAAGCAGACATCTTAGACACGTTGCCTTTACCGGGGTTTCCGAAGGAAGAGTCCGAGAGGAGAAAGGCATGGTCTAAGGTACCAAGGCGTGTTCGCTTGGGGATCAGGAGGTTGCACACCATGATGAACCACAAGCCTAAGGAAGTGCTAGTTCAGGTACTTCGTGGGGCAGGTGCTTCTGAAGAGTTGGTGAATGCAGCTAAGATCTTCAAGTGTGAGTCTTGCAGGGTTAGCGAAGAGAAGGTTCGCACACACCCTGTGTCAGCTCCACCACCTTACGAGTTCAACCACACAGTTTCGGTGGACGTGCTGGAGACTGCAGACTCAACAGGCGCAAAGTTTAGCTGGCTGAACATTATAGATGTCGGCACAAGCTATCAAGTTGTGACCTTAGTCCGCGTTGGTGGCGGACAGCCGAGCTCAGCCAAGTGCTTGCAGAAGTTCATGCAGCACTGGGTTTCCCCTTTTGGGTGGCCAAAGGTGGGTTCCCACGACCGTGGTTTACACAACCGGGGCGCTTTCGCTCACGGCTTGGGTAGCCATGGAGTCCAGATCCGCCAAGCCGGACTGGAATCGCCTGAGCACATAGGAAAGTGCGAAAGGCATGGAGGCATCATAAAGCGAGCCTTCAAACGTTTGGTCAAGGACCACAACGTTGTGGGCAAAGATGATGTCAAGGTGGCAATGCTCGAGGCGCAGGTCGCAAAGAACGAGTTCATGCGTGTTGGAGGCTTCAGCCCCACCCAGTGGGTGCTTGGACGCCTGCCCAGAGGAGTGGGCCACGTTTTGGACGAGGAAGAGCTAGGACAGCTTGGAGTCTTGTCGGGCAGGTTAGATGCCACGACTGCGTTCGGCCGCCAGGCCGAATTCCGCCATACTGCCAGAAAGGCATTCGTCCATGAGGATTGCAGTCGCAGGGTACGAAAGTCCGTGTTGCGCAAGGCGGCTCCCCTGCCGGGGGAATACCAAGCTGGCGACCTAGTTTGCTATAGGATCGCGCGAGATGAGCATTCAGGCGTTAGTACGTGGTCGACTGTTAGTAAAATAATCGGCTTGGATAACAAAACGGTCTGGGTGGTGCATCAGGGCGTGCCTGTGGCGACCAGCTTGGCGCGACTCAGACCGTGCACATCGGCTGAGGTTCTAGCGTTCCAAGTGTTGAACCGTGGCAACATACAGTACGAGCACGCGGAGGTTGAACGCGAGCAGCAGAGGTACATTGATGCCACCGGGGATGATCTATTGCTAGA